TCTCTCTCCCTCCCCCTCTCTTTCCCTCTCTCTCTCTCCCTCCCCCTTTCTTTCCCTCTCTCTCTGTCCCTCTCTCTCTCTCCCTCCCTCTCTCTCTCCTTATCTCCTTCTCTCCCCCCCCCTCTCTCTCAGATGGGTGCTGGATGTCACACTGTGTGGGTTGCCGGCGAACGCTTGTGAGCGTAGCAGCAGATGATTGCCATAGCAACATGGGCCTACACATCCTACCAGGCATTCCCACTCAGTGAAACACCCGACACACACACACACACACACATACACACGCACACACACACGCACACACACACACACACACACACACACACACACCATTTTAAAAAGGTGACAGGTTTTTCCGGGGTACAGAGGTGTTTTATTTCTAGGAAGCTTTTCTTTCTTTTAAATATGAAAATGAATAAATAATAAAAGCGATGGCGTTCATAATCAGTATTTTGTTTTTCCTCACATCAGAGCACCAAAGTAAATTCATGAGTAATGACTGAAGTCAGATGCCTGTTTCAGTGATATTAGAGGAAGCATTTGAATATTGTTCTCAATCAATAACACATTTGAATTTCTCCCATAATTTTTTCATCACCTCCTGCAAACTTATTACATAACTCTCCCCTCCTCCCAGGGAAACCGGTTATCTGTGAGCCAATCAGCAATCTGCAGGACCATTAGCGGTTAGCGGTAAATGGCATTAGAGGGGTTAGGAATAAAGTACAGCAGACATCAATCAAAGGAGGGGGTCGGTGTTATGTAACAATCACAGGTTTGTTCTGGCAGCTGTGAGAACTTTTTAATTCTGTTGAAAAATGAGAAAACGGACAGTTCGCTAAACCCTAAAAGAGCAGCTGTCCAATTATAGTTTAGCAACTGTGACAGGCCATACTTAACAACAAAATAAGGACCAAAAATATAAGAGATAATATGTAAGGAATGGATTGAATAGTGAGTTTGTCTGATGGTTACCTCTGTGACGTGAGGCACAAACTGGGGTAAGTAGTAACGTAGCATTTCTCCCAAAGCCAAGGGGCAATTATTCACAGGTTGGGTTAGAAAAATACCTGATCAGGACGACTGACACGTCCACTGTCAGTTAGAGGAAGGACGGCTTTGTCCTGCTCTTTATCTATTCTGAAGTTTACGCTCTTGCAACTCACTAAAATCACTGTGTTGCTTCAACAAGTCTGTTTTGTCTGTGATAAGCAACCAAAACCATTCAAGGGTTATGTTAGAAGAAATACAACATATGTATTTATAATTAGTACTACAATACCTAGATTAGCTGCTCTAATGCTGACTCTTTACATTGAACACTAAGACAGCACTAAGAGACTAAATAAATATAAAGCACAATACGACTGTTTTATCTGTCAAAGACTCACTTCAGACTTCCTCCCTTCAAAACATTTCACGACAAGTCAACAAGCATCATCTTCTTCATATTAGGAGTCAAATGGTTTTTTGGGTTATTTCAAGGTGTGCTTTAAAAAAAAGAAGAAGAAGCTGCGAGTGTGAGTGTGTGCCTGCAGGGTCACCTCATTGTGTATCTGGAGCCAACCACCACGCACATCCACAGTCCGATGACCCAACACACACACACACACACACACACACACAC